TATCTCATTTAGTTGAACAAACATCAACTGCTGCTCTTAATTTGAATCGACAGGTAAACTGGCGTTGCAATTAAGATGAAAGGTATACCCGAATTCGTCAGGTCTCCTCTTGGCATTTTCTTTACCTATGTGAACACACAAACAAATACGGAAATTTACTGAATGATATTTTATCATTCATCTATAGTCAGTCTCATCTGTTGTTTACAATTGAAAATTAACCTTCCTACAAACAACGTAGCATGCGGTTAATCAGTTTCAAAACTAGCTATGCTTGCGTCAGTCTTCTTTCACAACAGAAAAGTTATATGGTTATTACTACATTGTAGTCAATGGCGTTGTGTTAATTGACCTCAGTTTAAAGCACTTTGCATAAAAATAATCAAATGTAGACCGTATGCTTTGTACCTTGCACGGATCATATTTCAATAAGTAATTATCGTATTGTTATTTACTTGATATCAGCACGTCCGAATAAACAAGTAAAGTTGGAGTAAAATAGTGATTCCTGTCTTCTTCATGTTACACGCATTATATAGAGAAGATCGAGAATTTTGTGCGTTGTACATTTGAGCATAAGTTGTCTTTACTAATTAATTTTGCCCATTTATATAACAGCTGTATAGATAATATGTGCAATGCTAAATTGAATTATTGTGTAAATAAGAGAAGAAAAAAATTACGACCTTTAATTTACAGCAACTTACATGTCATTTTGAAATATAAGAGGAAAACTATGTATTGCCAGTTATGCGCATATAATTATTAGCGAACATAATAATTAAAGCATCGTATTTTTCTTTAACTTCGTGCTGAAATATAACGTCTGTGACTGAGAGACGACGCAACACAGGCTATTTAAACAAAGTAGTACATTGCGTATTCATACTTCATCACACCTGCTTAAACGAAAAGAAATGACAACATTTCAACGTACAACGCTTCATCTTATCCAGCTTTTGTGGTTTGGATTAAACTTTCACACGTTCGGGCAAGGCTTCGATTTTTGTTTCGATGCTCCGAAGCAGGGTAAGTTCTATTATGAATTAGGTCGGAATTGGTTTTAACATGATGATACAGTACGTATTAAATATCAGTCAAAATTAGCAGTTTCTATATGTGAGCCAGAGATATGACAGATCGGTTAAACAGGATTTTGGTTTTTTAACTGTGGAATCCGCAAGAAAAAGAAGGCAAAAACTTATATCGGGCCGTTAAGATTAGAGATTTTAGGAGTAGCGTTTACGACTCCAGAAAAATGTTAGTTAGAGTGCACAACAATTTGTTTTAATTCATAAACGTTCTACTTATAAATTAAACTATAGTCAGTGATTCTAGTGGTTGAATGGGTCTTAATTTCGAGTGAAATTACACACAACTATCGGTCAACTATCGGTCCTCCGGCAGGAATCGAATCTACGCTTTTGCGATGCCGGTGCAATGCTTTTCAGTGCCACATGCGAGCAGAGTGCTCGATATACCGAAGTATAGAGTTAATAAGACAAGAATAAAATTCAATAAACTTGGTTTACCTCATATGATTTTATTCACTACAAATTTGTTTCGTAAATAACAAGCAGTGCTTGCCACACCCATCAGGTGAATTTAAATGTCGCTATATAGTTGCCATGGTTATATATGTACTATTTACATGTTTGATGAAAAAAGATTGCATATATACATATACGTATTGTATTTGCATGCACGAAATTTATTTCTTATTCTGCAATTTGATATTTCTCCGTTCTCCGTTTTGAAAACGATGCATTTTTCCTTCCTATCTTTTTCGTCTTTGCATGATTAGTTAACTTCTTAGAGAGCGCTTCTTTCGTATGATACTATCAATCCTCCTTACTATATACCATTTGAAAAAACTCCTTACTATATACCATTTAAACATTTTCCGTGTTTCTATACACAGTTATAGAAACACGCGTGGGAGTTTGGGAGAATGAGAAATAATTAGTGGGAATTTAAAACGAGCCCGTAGGACGCTGTCCAGTCAAGGACCCAAAATATTGGACAAATCATTTTTATCATCATTTTCAAGGCTATCGTCTGGAATGCAGCGCTGAAAATAAGATTGAACATATCCAAGTGCGATCTGGGATGGAATGTGTCCTAAAATGTCTCGAAAACAAATCATGTAGATCGATTAACTACAAAAGAAACTCGCGTTGTGAAGAAAATAATTGTGAGTTACTCAGAACTGTGGATGCAGAACAACCTGCAGGAAGTTTGAAGAGAAAAAAGAAATATGACTACATCGTTATAACTGTATTTAAAACCGATGAAGTAAGTATGCAATTACATTACAAATTCACAAAATATGCAGGCCCTGTCATTCGCATAATATGCTGGTCCTGCAATCTTTCGCTCTTCATGTGGAACAATTCACTCCTAAGTATCAGTGATTGCAGACCTGATGACTTTTGACCGCGAGCACAATTCTTTGATGTTTTCACTGGGTATTTTATTTATTTCGCCTTACAGCAGGCATGCCTGATGTTGCATCTTGGGTTGGAAAATATTTTTCGTGGTCTTTTTAAAAATATTGTTAAGACTGACGCTATATGATACAACCGACTATATGAATGTATACCAAATTTAGATTACGCTATGATTATTCAGCGAGTGTAAAATATTAATTTCTGACGCATAACAACAATATTCCCCATTTAGGGGGATATTGGGAAATTTCCCGTTATTCCCCAAAAAACAACAAGTCACCAACTGCTGTTGTGCTCTAATTAAATCGACAAGCAAATTGGCGTTCCAATGGACCTTTGCATAATAAACCAATTTTGATCTAGGTAACAAGAACGAAATATATAACCACAGCTAAAAAGAGCATACCAGAATTGGTATATAATTTGGCTGCAAAATGTCGCTAATGGTTGGAAAATATAGCCATGCGAAATTGGCAAATTTGTATACTTTTACTACGGCCAGAAGCGTGTAACTAATTTAGTTACACGCATCCCGATTCCGGTAGTAAAAAAGTATACAAAATGACCATATTTACTATATTTCGCATCCAAACTTAACCATTACCAGAAATTTGCGACATGATAATTTGCATTTATACTAATTTGCATTTAACTTTCAGCATAATGGCCTTCAACGTTTACTATTAAATACATATAGCAAATATACAAAACTTAAAAATGCCGTTTTCCTAGACCTCGCCTACTGTTTGCCGACCTCTGCGTCAATAGAACAGCCGTTTCCCAACGTTTTAATGATCGAATTACTTACCTTAAATATTTCTACGTTCGGCCAACTGATTGTGAACAAATGTGTGTATAGCCTTCGTATTGTTCAAGTTCCTGATAAGACTTATAATATTTTTTAAAGTGATTGCAGTGAAAATCCGAGCCGTACAGAAAAGTTTATACACAAATACGAAAGACAATATCTTTAACAATTTTTTTGGTATATTACACGTCAATTCATCAACTACCTGAATCGAAATATTTGAATCAATGTGAGCGATTTTATAAGTTCGTTGACAGAACACGGATAAAACTTTGAGCAATATATTTTTAAATTTGGCAGAGTGTAGAAATGCCCAAGCTAAAAAATTTGGTCACCAAAACGTTTCTAAACAGCTGCTCTACCGATCTAGAGGTCGGCAAACAGTAGGCAAGGTCTAAGGCAACGGCATTTTTAAGTTTTGTATATTTACTATATGTATTTTATAGTAAAAGTTGAAGGCCATTATGCTGAAAGTTAAATGCAAATTAGTATACATGCAAATTATCATGTCGCAAATTTCTGGTAATGCAATTAATTTGACTAAGTTTAGTACGCACTTTTCAAAACCTTTTTGTTACCTAAATCAAACGTTGGTCTATTATGCAAAACGACAATTAAGATAAGCAGTGCCCAAATTCGTTCGGTCTTCTCCTGTGAGCGAGCCCAACCAGGGAAATTTTCACCAATTTTTTTACTCGTGCGAACACCTGAAACCGAACGTTCGAAATTCGCGCCAAGAATAGTTATATATATGGTTATTATATTGTACTCAATGACGTTACAGTTTTACGGTGAGATGTACACATACTACATGCTTTGGAATTGCGAACGTAAATTTTATTTGTCTCATGCAGTGTAACACACTTTGCGATTCCAACGTAGGCCGTATGCTTTGTACGTTGGATCATAAGTAACATAATAATATATAATTATCCCAGAAACTGAGCATTTGTTTTCCTTTAAGTAATCATCCTATTATTTACTTACTTAATGCATGTATCTTTATAAATCGATATATACGTAGTAAATTTAAAGTGCATGCATGCTAAAATACAATATACATGCCATATATTGTAAAATTTTTGTGTACAAAGGCAAAAGAACGTGCCATAAGTTTTGAAAAAGAATAGCTAAATATCGCTAACAAAACATGCTAATTTTACAAAATTGTTCTTTGTTAACAAACTGCAAATAAGCATTTGAACCTATTCGATGGCGATTATTGATATAAATTCATATTAGTAATATTTTGTTCTTGCCGACAGCCAATCATTTGAAGGCAGCTTTCGTTTTAATTAAATGCTTCGCGTGCAACTTGTGCTAACAATTGCAGATGCTTCAATTTGGTACCAATTTTACTATTTTCGTTAAGCTACTTATCGTATGTACATTATTGCATAACTGTTTAGATTGACCGACAATTTAAGACTGCGTGAGATGAACCTATATATGACTCACTCTCACAATGGCAGTCTTGTTAGGCATCTGTCCGTTAATTTTTCTCCTCACAACGCTCCAACTAAGCGAATGCCAGATGATCATTAATCAAGCAATGTTTCGGAAAAGTCAACAGAAATACTTAGCAAATCATGTCATTGATTCCCAACATGCGAATACCGAGTTGGAATGCTCCATGCATTGTGTTGGTGATCAATCGTGTGCTTCAGTGAATTTTAAAACCTCTGGAACCGGTAAAGGTCTTTGTGAGCTCAACAGTAAGACAAATAAAGCGATATCTTACGTTGATGGGAGCATGCATAACCCAGAATTCAACCATCTTTACAAAGTTAAAGAAGTAAGTATACGAAATGTTCTCCCTACAGAGTTGAATGTTACATTTTACGACAATAACAAAGCGCTTGCATATAGCTATTATGCATTAAAAACATTTGAATTAAGGGGGCTGATTATACAGGGAAACCTTTCCGGCGGAAATCGTTTTAGAATGTCATAGAAGTTTTAGTCTGGGTTGATCGAGTGATGTATTATGAGAGATATAGGGATATTAGCCTTGGATCCTACCTGAGCCATGTCGACACTTCAAACGTTTTAAATGGCAAATGTGAAATTGCCCGATCTTAACCTCCTATTAGTAGCATTTTTATCCGGGCTGAAATTTGTTTGGAATTACATATTAACAAAGGGTCAAAGCGTTGCGTTTTAGTTAAACCCGCGTTGACACAAACTAAGCTATAAAAAGTTTTTCATGAATTAATAATATATTTGTTAGTCGAACAATTAGAAGCGACTAGTATATAAGTATCTCCTGCCTAGTTCAGCCCAATTTAAACAACTTTGTATTTTTGCGAGCGAATTCGGCTCTCCCACAGAGTAAAGGTACTTGGATGCGACCATATGTCACGCAGAATGTCACAGCCATGCATGTCAGTTTGACTTTACATAATATATAAAGCAGGTGTGTTTGCCATTCTAGTAAGTTTGGGAAATAGAACGGCAACGGCAACCGCTTCCTTATCAACAATGGCATTGATCCTTTAAGACAAAAGAAAATCTAAATTACGCGTGGCCTTTCACGTTGTACAATGCCGTAGTTGCTGAAACGATATCGTGACTTACACCAATTTCACGGTGCACCACAACGCGGCAACAGTTAATTTGTCAATGTTGTTTGGATTATTAGAAGCAATTTTGCTGATCGACCATATTTATATTAGTTAATAACAGTTTCAGAGAAAGAGAAAACTTGAAAAGGCAAATGAAGTCCATATCTCGTATTTTCTTTGAATACCACAATATTAGGTTATAGGAGTATATTTAGGAATATATTTTGCCGTTGCGGAGTTGCGGTTGCCGTTGTATTTCCCAAACTCACTTCTGTACTGATCAAGACGGCACACTTTACATTTTATTGAATAAATTTTTCGAATACACAAGATAAAGTAATATTGTTGATATTGCTCTGCCAAGTTTTTTAGTTGCATTGAGCTCTGACCTAGTCAGAGTAACAATTTATTGCCATGTAATAAATGTGGTATAACAACTGCCTAAAATAGGTTTGATAGCCATTTGGGCCTAAATTTAGGAAGTTGATGTATTTCATATCGACATTGTCTAATAAAAAGATGGCCAATGTAAAACATGCCCATTTACAGGCTCCCAATTAAAAGTTTTTCATCAGGCACCATTTCACATGCCTATCCTCGAAACTTATTTATTTCATCTCATGCAACAAATATGGTTTACTATTTATCGATGAAACTGGAAGATCTCTTCCACTTACGCGTTTTTCATAGGCACGTACACGCAACGTAAAAGTCTAAATCCTTATACATGTTACCTTTGAAAAAAAGTTAGTGAATAAATCGAAGGAACTTAGTTTTCTGTATATTTTAGCATTAGTTGACCTAGATGTTGAATAATAAAAATTTAAAAGCATTTTTCCGCACGTGTACGTACGTATAAAAAACGCGTAAGTGGAAAGCAGCCTTAGTTAAGGCTTGGTGAACACCGTAGGTCAGTCAACAACCACGATAACACCAAACCTGTTGCTAGACACTTTACTTCTGGACTCTGGTAATCATTGTATCACGGGGATAAGAATTAGAGCCCTCTGTCCCATTTCCGGTACTAAAGAAGTGCGACTCATCAACAGCCTTGGCACTCTTCATCCCTCCTACATAAATAAAAGACTCTCTTTCATTTAAGCTGATTCACCCAGAGTAATATGACTTCCTTTTTTAGTTTGCATCAAAACTGTTTGTAATATATTTTCGTTGCTGATCAGGCTTCCCTTGTTGCGGGCTATTCTAACCCACAATCAGGCGTCTCTTTGGCAACGTAATGTATTGCAATTTGTTTTGATTTTTTGTTTTCTATTGGTCCATTTTAATCACGTGTTTTGCCCCCATACGAAACATGCATTCTCCCCTATTTATTTTCGTACTAAGGGCTGTTTATATGAGCCCGGTTAGGAATTTTTGCTGAAAACTCATCTCAGAAAGAGCGTTGCCGACAAAATCCCTCGCCCCTCTAACTTATTGTTCTTGCTATCTTGGGGTTGACTACTCAGGTGTTACATTACATATTAATTTTAAATTAGGCCAAGAAAAAAATATTTCTAATTAAAACTTTCTAAAGAAAAATATGAGGTGCACGTGCATTAGTTTTTACTTTGTATATTGTTTAAAACATGTTCAGGGCAATTTAATCCAGATATTTATGTGCGTATACAAGCATGATAATTATACATGATAATTAAACATTTAAATAAGCAAATTAACGCGTGAAAAGTGAAAACATAATAAGATATTGAGATTATTATAGTGAAATGTTGACTCTTTATGTTGACATGCATTTGAGTTAAAAAAATCAAGCGAAGTAGTGAACAGAGTACATCTCTCAGACGCAAAAATCGAAGACGATTCTATAAAATCAAGTGCGTTTCAGACGTCGAACTTTTCGTACGTGTGCCGAATCAAATACAAAAAAATCAGGTCATTAACATTAGGTTTAGTTATTCCGAAAGCTTTTTAAACTTTATTCGTCCCCCTGAGCTTAAAAAGCTGTTTCATGACATGAACAATTATTGAAGCCATGCATATAATTATGGTAAAGCTGTTCCCTTATGCTAAAAAAACAAGATTATTATTACATTATACTGCTATTCTGGATCGTGTCTTTCAGTATAGCGGTTTCCCATGTAGTTATTTCATGCCTTGTTTATAAAATAATGTAAGATTATGGAAGCAAAACCCTTGAACCAAGCACCAAAATTAATTGATATTCGGTAATATATATGTGCTCTTCTAATTGTCATTATGTTTACCCCCGCACTACTTTTTTTGTGTAATTGAAAATACTGTTGATATTGTTTTGTTTGATTCCATTTGTAGAAGGCTTCTGGTGTTCCGCCAACCTCAGGTAAGATTAGCATTAAAGAAAGCGAGTAGGCAAAACTATGTTTATGTGTGAAAATGAAGAAAGAGAAATTTGAAATTCATATAATACGTGCTAAAGAGCGCTTTTTAATTATTGAATTGTTTTGATTATTTGAAATAATTAATAGAGAGTAAATATGAAGTTTTAAGTTCCAATTTGGCACCCAATAGTACATTTTTATGATTGATACCCATATTAAAGTTTACGTGCATTGCCCCGATTATCGATAGTCTTGCCCGGAACGGTTATTCAATCCATGGAAAACTCTAAATTTTCCTATAGAGGAAATGTGCCTTAAGAAAAAACATGATATTTTGATGGTTGTTGATGGGTCTGGCAGCGTCGGGGAAGCAAATTTTGATAAAGTGAAAGAATTCATCCAGAAACTTAACACAAAGTTTGATATTGGACCAGGAAGGACACAGGAAGCGCTCGTGCAATTTGGTTCTCCATCACATACACGAGTCGAGTTCAATCTTGGGGAAAAGAAGACGTTGAAGGAAGTAAATCAAGGAGTTAAACAGATGAAATATCTGAGGTCGGGAACCGCAACTGGGGATGCTTTAAGGAAAAGTAGAGCCATGGTAAAATTGTCCGAAATTCTCGCAAGAAAGCATGTCAATTAAGGTGTAGCGAAAGCTTTAAACAATTGCATGTCACAATCAATTGACATTATATATCTGACATGGGATTCCATCGCAACTGGGGATGCTTTAAGTAAAAGTAGAGACATGGTAAAATTGTAATGTTATATTATTATCTCTGCGTGAAAGTATCGATTGTACGCATATTACCTGGTAGATAAAAACCCTCGTCTTTTCAGATCAATGTCGGAAATTGCCGCTAGAAAGCATGTCAATTAAGGTGTAGCGAGACTTTAAACGATAGCATGTTGAAATCGATTGACATTAATTTTGAATAATCGTCGCTTTGGCTTCAAGCGTTTACGAAACATATGATACAGTTTATAACTAGAAATCTGCACAACAGAGAGCCACAGCACTAAATGTTTTCCATAATTTGAATGCAGGTTTTCAATGGAACTGGCAATGACCGTCCTGATGCCCCCAACGTCCTTGTACTCTTCACAGATGGCCAAAGCAACGATGACCAAGGTGTTGACTACCAAGTTGAACAAGCAAAGATATTAAAAAATGACGGTGTGAAAATTATTGCAGTGGGAATGGGAGAAACTGTTATAATAGAGGAACTTCGTACGAAAATGCGGCAAATAGCAAGCATGGCTGCTGACAGTAGTGATCCTCTGATGTTTGAAACAAATTTCGCAAATTTGGATTCGATTTCCAATAATATTACCACTGCAATCTGTGGCGTGTGAACCGTATAAAATATGTCGGAAATCCTACAGTACCACAATCCGTCAAGTTCGTTGAAACATTGTTAGCAACAATCGTATTTATTTATAGCGAACGACAAAACTAGGGAATACATATAGTTAAATTTTGCGGGTCCCTATTTCTGGGTCACCCTGTTGCAGCTTAACTGCAAGAAAAATTAATGCGTAACTTCTATTCTGCATGAGCCATATAGGTGTGCAATATATATACCACAGGATAAATTGGATAGCGTACAAATTTTCACCACCATTAGCTGGACCAATGTAAACATATTGAAATAAGCTATGGCTGTTAGGCCCAGTTACACAATACGAGTCACCGGATTAGTTTTCGCACCGGATTATCAACGTTGATTCGATATACATATGGTGTCGGATTTGTTTTGATTAAACGATACCGGATTGATTTAAAATACAAACCAAATAACGGGCAACGAGGGGAAGCAAACAGTCCAAAATAAATACTCTCGTGTGCAGGCAATGAAGTAGAACTTCTTTTGGAGTCGGTAACCTTTGCAAGCGCGTTATATGTCCTTTTATTTTTCCTCGAAACATTATTTTGAGTAAGTAAGAGAAGCGATAAATACCGGATTAGAGCGATTACACGGAAACAGAAATTAACCGAATCATTTTTGAAGTCACCTCCAGAGCGGAGTGATTTTCATTTAGTGGAGGCGGTACCGGATTGCTACATCGTCGTGTAACTGCAACGTCTATCTCATACCGAGATTATTCCGATCAAGCAATCCGGTACTCTACTAATCCGAAATCCTGTAACTGGGGTCTTAGTGTACAGCGCCGGATATCTTATTGATAATCTGATATCAGCTGTATGCTTGTATATATGGCACTCAATATACTTATGTATAATAATATATAATTGCTAAAAGCACTTTAGAATACCTTATGTAATATAAGCGTTGTATAAATTGTAAATCATCACTGCTTTTATTATCTTTACTACGTTTTCTTGTAATAATACTGATTTATCAGTAGCTATCATATATATTAAATGCCTTTTTCTGCTAGTTATTTTTGTCTTAAATGTGCACATATTTCAGTTACGTCCGCGTCTACAGCTATGGCGCAAGAATTTTCACTATACATTTTGTGTTCACTGTTGCAAATTTTTTATCCCAAACAGTGCTAATCGATCGATGCTTTTTGTAAACAACGGACCGCCCCATCCGTATATATATATATATAATTCGACCACATATTTTTACAATCCGTCGAACATGCATTTCACGAAACGCGAATATTCACGTGTGTTTTGCGGGTGGTTGCCGTGTTAAACACTTAAAGATTAGCGATTAAAGCAAACGACATTCTCAGTTGATTTTATGTCTCAGTTACCAAAGAAACTTTCACTACGGTGTTCCCGAGTATTAAAGACAAATGAACTTAATGAAGCTTAAGAATTAAAAGTTTAGCCTTTGTGTTAGTTGATTTCAAGTGTAAACTTCATTCACTAAATTTCAGGTTATCAGTTCTGCTATGGCAATAGCTATATTATTACAAGAATATAATGCTCTGCTTTCTTGTGCATGCTTGCAAAGTACCACAAGTGATAAAAGTTTAACATGATTCAAAATGCGTATAAACGCTGTTGTATAGTAGAATTGTCAAATAAAAACTTCCATTGCCGTAATAAAACTACATGCCTATAATATAACGTCATTATTAATCTTTTTTTGCCACCTAAATTATTTTAGTATATCTATAATCATCATGTAATTGGACTACTATGCCTGATGAACCGATATATATCCCTCGTCTTTATAATATACCCATGAAAAACCGAATCTGGTATTCCTACTATGTCGAATATAGCTCAGTATTTACAGCATTATTATCTGCATGGGTAGATAATCTCCATTTTACTCTATAGCATTAAACATTTTTGGTGCTCGAAGAACGTGGATTTTATTTAATCCAAATACATAACGAGAGGCACGCAATGCGTACATGTGGCTAGCCAATAGTTAAATAGAGGTCACTGGCGCTTACCAGTGAATGTTGTATGAAATAGATCACCAAAATAATCTAGACGAGTATAAGCAATATTATATTTGTTGCAATGCCTACACAGTATATATATACAACAGGATATATATATATATATATATATATATATATATATATATATATATATATATATATATATATATATATTTATATATATATACACCCATTTGCAAAAACGTTGGCCGCAGATAGATAGATAGATACTCGAAGTCTAATAGAATTACATATGAATACATTTGCATGGGATTTCAATCATATTACACAACATATGCAATTCTAATTAGATTTCGAGTATCTATCTATCTATCTATCTGCGGCCAACATTTTTGCAAATGGGTTATATATATTATAATATATATATATAATATTATATAATATATAATATAAATATATTATATATATATTATATAATTAATATATATATATATATATATATAATATAATATATATATATATATATATATATATTTTTTTTTTCCGCACCTGTTCGTCGGCGAATTCGATTTGTTGTTCCATTCCATTGCTCTATATTCGCTAACTTCTTTTACGCTTGCCCCCATGTTAAACTTGTGTTCTTCGAAAACCTCTTTCATGTCGTACCCCCTTCATTATTGCTTTGATAGATGAACACAGTCTGTCCGAGACTGTGCAATTTAGCAAGAGCAGAATCTGTTTTCTTAGCTGTAAAGTATAAAAGCTACACTATTTCCGGACACCACTGTAACTAAAACTGTTTTTAGGATAATTGGTGCAAGCTAATGAAAAGTTTCTTCACGGAGTCTCGAAGTGAATAGTTACATCGTTCCGATTACATCGTTCAAATTTTGAATCATTGCATCTCTGTGGTTTTCCGGGCGTAAAAATCGAGCAATTCTTTGAGAATCTATGCAATTTATCAGCTTATGTTATGAATTACGAGCATTCAATGCAATACAAATATGATTTGGAAGGTTTATTCCATAAATGGAGCTAAGAGGTTAGGAAAAAACGACGCTGTGTTGTTTATGTATATTGATAGATCTCTCACACGAATATATATTATGTCGATAACAAGTCGATACCTGATATTCTGCATACAGTACTTAAATGATACGATACAAAACAGATATTTTGTGCAGTAATCAAATCATTTTGGCGGTATACAGTATTGATTGTAAGTATATTGCTTTGTATCGATTTACGCGTCGAAGTATCCACATCTTATAGTCATAGACATAATATGCACCGCGGTTTATTTACATTTTTTTAACGCAACTATTTTCGTTACTCTTATGAAATGACGGATAAATTGTTACCATCATATAAATGTAGTGAATGTAGTCACAGTTGTTTGACGAAGAAAAGAGACTAAACTGAGAAAATCGCGCCCGGTTTATATGAGCAACTAAATTAAAATATTCGCGACTAAAGGCGGATTTCCACTTACAGCGAAATCGAACGTTCGCCAGCGAAATATTTGCATATTTTCTTTTGAATTTTAACAGCATAAATAAATTACTTCGACTTGATTGTTCTCAATTCAAAAGAAAATATGCAAATATTTCGCTAGCGAACGATTTCGCTGTAAGTGGAAATCCGCCTTAAGGTAACTTGAGTACTTTGAGAAATTTCTTTTTGATTAATGTTTAACCTAGTTCATTGTATTTTTACTGGCATAAGTCAAAATGTTTACGTTTGGACAAACGTGTGGTTGCTTAGATATTACAGGGCATGGGAACTTTGCATTACCCTAATTCACGTAACTCAGCTAGCTTTTTTAAATATGACATATATTTGGACTTTCAAGTGCGTGTACGTGCGCATGAAAAATGGTAGATACTGCTTTCAACTTACGCGTTTTTTATACGCACGTACACGTATGAAAAATTTTAAATGCTTTTAAATTTTTATTATTTAACATAAATAATGGATACTAAAATATTCAGAAAACTAAGTTCCTTCGATTTATGCACTTAGTTTTTTCAAAGGTAACACGTATATAAGGATTTAGACTTTACGTGCGCCGGTGTGCGTACGTATGAAAAACGCGTAAGTGGAAAACAGTCTTAAGTGGAAAGATAAAAAAAATTCGTATTATAAATTCAATGTGATCATGCACTCATACTCTTGAATTTAAAGAGCTGATATTGCAGTCAAAATATTATTTAAAATGAGCTAACATTTCTATACATAACCTGTATTAGTTTTAATAGCAAAGAAATGTCTTAAGCAATAAGGCTTTCCACATCTACCAAGAAGCGTTTGTGGATAATATCGCCATATTGGTGTGACATTAGTTATTCACAGAAAGTTTTAAAGCGAATTAAGGAGAAGCAAATAGGGGCTAATTTGTATCCAGGGAATGGACGACTGGCACTTTAGACTAATTTCTTATCTGAAAGAGATTAATAAAATTAGTAAAACTGACCAGTTTGGCTGCGGTTTGTTGGATCGGAGAATTACGGAGAATACAGCCATACGAAGTTGAAGAATTTTGTATACTTTTGTATATTACGGCCGGACGTTTTTAACTACAGATTATATATAGTTACACCGCATGGAAGCGCGTGATTCAAAGGTATACAAAATATGCCAACTTCGCGTGGCTATATTTTCCGTATTTTACCAAATTTCGTAGCCAAACTTTGCATTTGCACTAAATCATGTACGCTCTTTCTAGCTGTGGTGATTTATTTTCTTCAAAAATTAGTGTAAAGCTCAAGTCGTCCATTGTTTACTTTTCCAAATCATAATCAGAAATTATGCGAATCGTCAGCAATGGCCCGATTTATACTAGAGACGGATCATCCGTCTAGGCCGTCTAGGCCGAACTTGGGCAAGCCAAAGATAGTTCGTCTTCTAGTTTGTCTGTGACTGTGTAAATACCGCCAAACATGCAGACGGATCATCCACGAACAATTATCCGCATAGTTCGTCTATTTAGACGAAGTTTGAATGTGTAGTTCGCTTTGACGCATCATCCGTCTGTTAGTATATATCAATACAGGGTGGCCGGGGCAAAAAAATCATTATAAAACGGCTCTTGTGCACTCTTTTTATCACATAAACATTTCCCTAATTCCTGTGCACTTTCTAAACGGGCTATCCTGTTTCGTTTCACATATTCGTCTACATACTTCATCTAAATAGACGGATAATCCGTATCGTATAAATCGGGTTCGTTAGATTATTGTTACAGGTCCTAGAAGTTTTTACGGCTCGCTAAATGATTTGAAGCAATCATAATTGTCAGATGGTTCCAATAGGATTTGGCAAATGAATTTGAACTTGAAACTAGCCTTTTTATACACACTGACACTGTATAGCAAGTGCTTTGGGGCCGTTCACAATATACAGTACGTGATACTCTGATAAGTGGGAAGGTGTTTACATGATAGAGTAGTGCTCGTAATTTTTGAAAAGGGATATTGCTAATCGCCACACAAGGTCAAGAGGGATACTGCGGTGTTAAAAAATTATCAAAAAGCGTCACGTATATTTACACGCCTAAAAACGCTCAGGTTGAGGCAAGTTGATACAAACAGGATGGAGCAATGTTGTGCTGCCCACATTGTTCAGAGTTGTTATCAACATTGAACAATAATGTTACACCCGATTCAGTTTCAACAATATTGTTCAATGTTGATAACAACTCTGAACAATGTAGGCAGCACAACATTGCTCCATCCTGTTTGTATCAACTTGCATCAACCTGAGCGTTTTTAGGCGTGTAGTATAAACGTCCTCTTTGTCATCATAATTGGGGAGCGGTCACTTACGCAAAGTAGAATGTTAATTCAACATTGCTGAGCAGTCGTATATAGCATAACGAAAAAGTTCATTCACCTTGCACAGATATAGCTACAGGAAGAGAAGAAAAAGCTTTCACGGGTTTGAAATTCATTTTTTGGATTGTTCTGGTGAGTTAAC